TCTCACTCTGTCGCCCAGACTGGAGTGCAGTGGCTGCTCCCGGCCACCGCAGCCTCGCCCTGCTGGGTTCCGGCGATCCTTCCGCCTTAGCCTTTCAAGTAGCTGGAACTATAGCGCGCACTACCACACCTGGCTAATTTTTTGATTTATTTTAGATATGAGGTCTCACCAAGTTGCCCAAGCAGATCTCGAACCCGCGGGCTCAGGCAATCCACTCACCTCAGCCTCCCAAAGCACTGGGATTAGAGGCTGAGCCACCGAGTCCGGCAATGTAACTGTTCTTACTGTCTATACCAAATAATTCTCTTCTGAAGAAACAACAACAAGACCTCTGGTTCGGGATGTTAACATACATATTTGTTGGGTGGCTGAGGCAGAAGGATCACTTGAGCTCCAGATGTTGAATCTGCAATGAACCATCATTGTGCTGCTGCACTCCAACCTGGGTGACAGATTGAGACTCTGACTCAAAAAAACAACGTTTATCTTCTCAAAAACCCCATTAAAGAGTCAGAAAAATATTAGAATATAATAAATCCATTATAACTATGAGTATAGAAAAGTATGCCATCAGCGGATCAAGAATTTTTAGACCTTTCTAAAAGTTAGCAGATGATACTGGATTGATGGAGGTGCCTGGTCATAGAAAGTATGGTTTTCAGAATAGTCTGAAGAAAGACCACCTATCAAGATGAGCAGGCCGAGGTATAATTAGCCAGGTAGTTAAGCTACTAATTAAGGAATAGACATTGTTTTTCCTCTTGTGGAATTGACTAGTTATGAAATTAGAGTAAATCGGAACACTGCGGCTCAAAAGCTATGAAACTTGTCAGGAATAGGGGTGAAGGAGAGAGAGAGTCAAAGGACAGGCATTGAGAAGCAAAGTAGAGTTCAAAGTAACTTCAACATTTATAATCAACCTTGAATTCTCTCCCCTCCCCCACAAAGCCCCACCTTACTGAACATACTGAAGTACCCACCAACCAAAGTAAAACCTTCCCTTCTTGACTCTCTTGTAAGCGCTTTTCCCCCATCCATGGACTCTAAAGGGTGACCTGCTTGCAGATATGCCCACACTCACCTCTGCCATTCCAGGAAGAGCTTGTTACGGAAACAGACTTTCACAACTGCTGAAGAAACTCAAACGAAATATTTATCAACCTAGCTGTATGTTGATAACTGTGAGTGAGCAATGCCCAGGAAGGATTTGATGAAAATTTAATGCCCAACTTAACCTAAAGCTGTAACATACTTAGAAAGCTGAAAGAAGCCGGGCTCGATGGCTCAGCCTGTAATCCCGTGCTTTGGGAGGCTGAGGTGAGTGGATTGCCTGAGCCTGCGAGTTCGAGACCTGCCTGGGCAACTTGGCAAGACCCCATCTCTACAATAAATCAAAAAATTAGCTGGGCATGGTAGTGTGCACCTATAGTTCCAGCTATTTGGAAAGCTGAGGCGGAGGGATCACCGGAACCCAGCAGGTCGAGGCTGTGGTGTCTGGGAGCGGCCACTGCACTCCAGTCTGGGTGACAGAATGAGACTCCAGCTCAAAAAAAAAAAAAAAAAAGAAAGCTGAAAGAGACAAAAACTCAGTTAACTTGATAGTAACTGTAGTAACTATAGTAAACACCATCCCTAACATGAAGCATTGATTCTTTCTTTTAAAGTCAGGGTCAAGGCAAGGAAGCATGTTAATACCTGTGCTGTTCAACAGTGTTCTAGATATTCTAACAATGCCAAAAGACAAGAAAAGGAAATGAGAAAATGTTGCAAAAGAATTAATGAAACTCGGCCGGTCTCGGTGGCTCAGCCTGTAATCCTAGCACTTTGGGAGGCCGAGGTGAGTGGATTGCCTGAGCCCACGGGTTCGAGACCCGCCTGGGCAACTTGGCAAGACCTCATCTCTACGATAAATCAAAAATTAGCTGGGTGTGGTAGCGCGTGCCTGTAATTCCAGCTACTTGGAAGGCTGAGGCGGAAGGATCGCCGGAGCCCAGCAGGTCGCGGCTGCGGTGGCTGGGAGCGGCCATTGCACTCTAGTCTGTGTGACAGAATGAGACTCCAACTCAAAAAAAAAAAAAAAAAGAATTAATGAAACTCAATATCCTCATAAATGAGATTGCTACCCCTGAAAAGAAGTATTTGAACCAGTAAGGTGACTAGAAGCAACATAAACCTTTTAAAAATGGTTTCCCTGCATATGGCAATAGCTAGTTGGAAAAGTAATGAAAAAATATGACCTAATTCACTATAACACAAACATAAATTGTTTAGAAACAAAGATAACATGAAATGTATGACCCCCACATGAATGAAACTGGGATACTTCATTGAAGAACATAATTTGTGGATGGATTCAGTCTTATAAAGATATCAGTTCTTCCCACATTAATCTGGTCAGGGTATTAAAATGAAAATACAACCAAAAAAAGCCCCTGATACTCAGTGACTAAAAAATATAAATCATAATTAGCTGCTTTAAAAATGATCTGGAAGAGAAGATGCATGACAATAATGACAGAAATTTTGAAAAAGAAAAATGTGGGACTGCTCTCCAAAATACCAAAACAAATGCTAAAACTATCATTAAAACAGCAAATTTAGTGCAAAAGCAGATAAATGGCCCAGTGCAATGGAGGAAAGTTCAGAAATAAAACTGTGTGTATAGAAGGTTGGGATGTGAAAAAAAATAGAATTTCAAAGTCGTGGGGAGCAAGATAATATTAAACGTGTTGTTATAATTAGCTATCCATGTGGGGAAAAGCCAGACTCCTGCCCCTCAGTGAACACAAAAAAATAAATCTCAGATGGATTAGATATCGATAAGTCCAAAATTTAAAAGTATATTTTTGTCATTTTGGAGTGGATAAAGATTTCCTTAGCAAGATATATACCTTGGAACCTATAAAGGATGAAAATGTCTTACCATATAAAAACATTAAAGCCCTGTATGATTAAAAATAACAAGAACATGAACACACAGCTGGAAAAGTAAGTTGTATTGTCAGGGCAGTAGAATTATAGGTATTTTTTAAAATGCTTTTTCATACAAAACTCTACAACAACCAAGTATCATATATTATTAGAAATATAACCAGAAAAAAAAAATTTTAACTTCAGTGTTTTCTCAAAAGTGAAAACTAGAAATGTGTATCTTTGAAACCTCGATTATTATGGAAAATTATCAATAAATAAAGATTAAAAGCCAGGCTCAGTGGCTCAGCTTGTAATCCCGCACTTTGGGAGGCTGAGGTGAGTGGATTGCCTGAGCCCGTGGGTTCGAGACCTGCCCGGGCAACTTGGCGAGACCTCATCTCTACAATAAATCAAAAATTAGCCGGGCGTGGTAGTGCACGCCTGTAATTCCAGCTACTTGGAAGGCTGAGGTGGAAGGATCGCCGGAGCCCAGCAGATCAAGGCTGTGGTGGCCGGGAGCGGCCACTGCACTCCAGTCTGGGTGACGGAGTGAGACTTCGACTCAACAACAAAAAAAAGATTAAAAATCAAGATGACCTTACTAACAGGATTATACTTTGCTGGAACTGAAAAATGATTTCTTTAAAAATCAGACTCCAGCTCATTAGCCCATATTTACATGACTTTATAAAATTGCTTGGTTCTTTTCTCCAGAAGTTGTGGTGTTGATTCAACTGCTCATCTGGGCAGTTAGGTGATAGGTGCTTCTTCTGCCTTAGGAGTGACTTTTTAACTATTTAACCTTAACTGTTCAGGAAATTAAGCTTATAATTATGTCCTTAGGATCAAAGTTCTGATCGTACCAGTCTTTCTTCAGTGGGAGCCCAGGATTCTGAATCTACCTCTTTGACAGATGAAGATGTCTGCCATGAGTTGGAAGGAGCCACTTCCTCCCAGGAGACCGGTGCTGCTTCAGGGACTAAGGGAATTGATCTCAGCCGAACAAGCCTGGAGAGTTCTGCCTCCTTGGAAGGTTCGTTCAGACAGTGCTGTTGTACTGCATTTGATTTGCAGTTTCATTTGAGTTGTAGCACCTTTACTTTTTTCTTTATGATTTAATTTTGTTTATAATTTTCTAAAAGATTTATATAACTCTTCAGTCAAAACAGTAAAGCCAAGGTACTTCAGAAAAGTCTTAGCGTTCATCCCCACCCTGCCTCCTGCTTTCTCCCTGTCCCTAGAAGCAACCATTTTTATTCATTGTTGATTTATCCTTTCATTGTTACTCTTTTTTTTTTTTTTTTTGAATTGGAATCTCACTTCGTCGCCCAGGCTGGATCCTTCCACCGCAGTCTTCCAAGTAGCTGGAACTAAAGGTGCTTGCTACCACGCCCGGCTAATTTTTGATTTATTGTAGAGATGAGGTCTCGCCAAGTTGCCTGGGCTAGTCTCAAACCTGCGAGCTCAGGCAATTCACTTACCTCAGCCTCCCAAAGTGCTGGGATTACAGGCTGAGCCAGCAAGCCCAGCCCATTGTTACTCTTCTGAAAATATGCGTATAGATATGTATATGTACACACACACACGCACACACACATTATATTCTTGTTACTTTCTTGTCTTGTTACTCAGTTAACATGCTGTAAATACTTTCCCACTCCCTTGCTTTTTTCACTTAATATATCCTGAAGATCATTCCATATCATCACATAGCAATGTCCCCCATTCATTTTTACAGCTACATAGTGCAAAATTATAAAATTATGCATCATGTGTGGATATATCATACTTTATCTTAACCACTTCTCTATTAGTGGACATTGTTTCCAGTCTTTATAATGGTGTAATGTATATATGTCATGTTTTTACCAGGGTGTCTTTGGAAGATATTCTGAACTCTTCCTTGAAGTGACACTGCCCGGTTCCCCTCCTCAGGCTATTTTGCGTCCCACTGGCAGTGTCTGAGAGTCTCTGTTTCCCCACAGTCTTGTCCACAAAATATGTTGGCAAACTTGAATTTTTGCCATCTGATAGGTGAGGAATGTGTTTCAGTTTGGTTTTCCTTTATATTTCTCTTCTAAATGAAGCTGAGAATCTGTTTATATCTTTAATGATCATTTGCATTTCTTTCTCTGTTGACTGCCCTTCACCTACATTTCAATTGTTGGTCCTTTTTATTTTCTAAGTTTTAGTAGTTATTTTTATAATAGGGAATTAATCCTTTGTATCTTGTATAAGTTGTAAGTAGCCTATCCAAATTTGTCAAGTGGTTTGGGGGTTTTTTTTGTTTTGTTTTGTTTTTTGCCATTTGTAAGTTCTAAATTTTATATCATCAAATCTATCAGTATGTCCTCTTCTTGCTTCTGGATTCTGAGTTGCTTGGAAAGGTTTCCTCTTCCTAAGTTATACAGGAATCTACCAGTGTTTTCTTCTTATATTTACCTGGTTTCCTTCTTAACATTTTCTGGGATCAGACTTTTCTATAAATAGTCATATAGTAAATATTTTAGGTTTTGCAGGCCATATATATCTATGTCACCAAAATATTTTTTTTCTTTTTTTAACAGCTCTTTAAAAGACAGTCTTAGCTCTGGCCATACAAATACAGATTTGATACCTGATTTAGATATTTGATTCATTTGAAATTTATCCTATTTAATGGTGCAAGAAATGGTTCTAATATAATATTTTTTTTCAATTGTACCTTTGCCTTCTTAAAAAGCTTTTATTTGTGGAAATGTTCAAACAAATACAGAAATAGAGGAAGTAGCACAAGGAACGCCTTGCTCTGTTGCCAGTCTCAGTGGTTGTCAGCAAATGGCCACTCCTGCTTGGTCTCTTCCCTCTCTCTGTTACCAACATTCTGTCCTTCCCAAAGTGATTATTTTAAAGTAGTTTTATTTATAAACACTTCAACATGCGTCTCTAAAATAAAAGACTGTTCAGTTATCTGCTTTAAACTGTTAAAGTATAACATAACGTGTATGCTTTTATGTAGCGAATACATTTCACAAATAACCAGCACTCAGTTCAAGAAACAGCATGCACAGCATCTAGAACCTTCTCTTATGCCTGAATCTTGTGCCTCTTCCCTTCACAGATAAACATGCTCTTCTAATGCCACAGATTACTTTGGCCACTTTTAAACATCTCATGGACTCATACAATATGTATTTTTTGGTGAAACATACACTTTTAGAAAATGTAATTATAATACCATTGCCATTTTTAAATTTTTTTTTGAGTTGAATTCTCAATCTGTTGCCCAGGCTGGAGTGCAGTTGTAGTGACACGCTCACGGCCACTGCAGCCTCGAACTGCTGGGCTCAAGTGCTCCTTCTGCCTCAGTCTTCCAAGCTAGAACTACAGGCATGTACTACCACGCCCAGCTTATTTTTTGATTTATTGTAAAGATGAGGTTTCACCAAGTTGTCCAGGCTAGTCTCAAACCCCTGAGCTCAGGCAGTCCTCTCGCTTGGGCCTCCCACAGCGCTGGGATTATTGGCTTGAGCCACTGTACCTGGCCCATTGTCATTTTTAAATGTGATCATCATATATTAAATATTTAGTTTCAGTTTGTCACAGTTATTTCATAAAACTTGTTAACGGTGGTTTGTTCAAATGGGGACCCATATATATCCATGTGCTGATATGTTTCTTAGCCTCTTTTTTTTTTTTTGAGTTGGAGTCTCACTCTGTCACCCAGACTGGAGTGCAGTAGCCACTCCCGGCCACCATAGCCTCCACCTGCTGGTCTCCGGCGATCCTTCGACCTCAGCCTTCCAAGTAGCTGGAATTACAGGCATGCGCTACCACGCCCGGCTGATTTTTTGATTTATTGTAGAGATGAGGTCTTACTGCCCAGGCTCAGGCAATCCACTCACCTCAGCCTCCCAAAGGCGCGGGATTACAGTCTGAGCCACCGAGCCCGGCTTCTTAGCCTCTTTTATCTTTATTCTTCTTCTGCCTCTTTTTTCTTGCCATATACTCATGAAGAAATCAGATGATTAGCCCCTCTGCCTACTTTTTTTAATACAAGGACAGGCTGGGTGCGGTGGCTAAGGCCAACTTACCAGTGCTCACTTATAAAATGTAGTAATGACAAGAAAAACGTGTAGAGAAGGCATAGGTAACCTCCAGTTTTGCTAACAAGACACAGCTGCTGTCAACACTGATTTGACCACAGAACTCCCATTGCTTTTTGTGCTGTTTGAATATGTACCGTTTCCCCATTGCTCTTAAGAATATACTTGAGCTGGGTGTGGTGGCTCAAGTCTGTAATCCCAGGACTTTGGGAGGCCGAGGCAAGTGGATTCCTGAGCCTAAGTGTGTGACCAGCACTGGTCTGGCAGCCATACTGAGTAGCACTGATTTGTAGTATGTAATTATAAATGGCTGTTTGAAGTGTTGGCAAATTAATGATTGTGTTTACTTTTCCATTGATAAAACCACTATATAAAATATATATAGTAATTATAATGGAAAAAACATGCTTACTTAAATGCAAGTTTCTCTTTTAGGCAAAAATATTGGAATATATTTGGCAGAAACAGTTAAAGATGAGCGTGATATATGGAGCACAGAGCAGGGGTTCGAGACCAGCCTGGGCAATTTGGTGAGACCTCGTCTCTACAATGAAAAAAAAAAAAATTAGCCGGCCGTGGTCACATGCATGTAGTTCTGGCTACTTGGAAGGCTGAGGTGGAAGGATCACTGGAACCCAGCAGGTGGACGCTGGGGTGGTGTGATCGTGCCACTGCACTCCAGCCTGGGTGACGGAGTAAGACTCCAACCTCCCCCCACAAAAAAAGAATATGCTTGGGAGCTCTTCCTTGGCATTTAAGAGCAAGACTATGTACCAGTTCTTAAAAGGTTCTTGTAAGGAGAGAGTTCCCACTAAATCTTTTCATGATTTGAAGTAAGATTAGTTATTTTATACTTTCTAGACCTTAGAACTAAACACTTTTCTATATTTTAAACATGAAAAAATAGAAATAGCACAATGCTAATTGCTAACAACAGGAAGGCTTCCTTGCCTGTGTATACAAATGCTTCATAAGTGAATAGTGAGTGACACACCTATTAGTGGGTTGGCAGGAATGGAGCACAATCCCAAGTTTGTACTCGAAAGGGCATTTATGGAAAAAATTGTTTTAACTTTCTGTTTTTCCTAAATTTTATCTTCAGTATTTTGAGTCAGGTTAACATTTTATCAGAGAATATGGAAGTGAAAGATTCTTATGTTCTTTCTCGTTCATTTTAATGATTTCTTTTCTTTGTTTTTCAATAATGAACAGGATCCCTGTCAAAGTATGCCCTACCTGGGAAATCAGAAGGAACATCTTTCCTCAGCACGAGTAATACAAATATCTTCCAGAACTATGCAATGGAGGTATGGGTCTACTCAGAAGAGACTGTCATGTATTGCTTTATAAAATTCACATTCCTTACGTACTGATGGTTCTAGGTAGAATAATAAAAGTTAAGCATATAGCGCCTACAATTTCAGAATGTGCACTGCATCTGAATAACATTGAAGTCCAGCTTTTGGACATCCGGTATTTCAGATTATTGGAGTTAGATTTCTTCTCTCTTAGGACAAGTGCATGTTTGCTCTGAGATTTGCCAACATACAAAAGCACTTTCGTTTTCAATATTTGTATTTATTTTTGTTACATGTGTTCTCTTTAAATGTTTGCATCACATTGTAAACACCACAAACACCACTATCAGTTTTGCTTGGCAAACATACTTTTCTGGTGACAGTATTGAGAGTAGTTTGGCATTACATTGTCAACTTCTATCATGTTTTTCATTCTTTGTGTCAGTTTGTTATAGATCTCTATGGTGTATACTTCTCTATCCCACTTTCTTATAATTAAAAAATTATACATTAACATTTTCCCCTAACTTTTCTATAAAAATTGCTTCTAAATACATTTGTGAATATGGTTGCTATTTTATGCTAATTTGCATAAATCTGGAAAATACATTTGTATACAGCAGGAAAATAGATGCTGAGCACTAACGTTGCAGTTCACCAAGTTTCTGGTGGCTTTAGGATTTATTTTATTACTGTAATGACAGCATTTATAGTTATTTACAACAATGCTTCTTAAACTGTCTGTAGTGATACGGTTGTTTTTGTTTTGTTTAACATCTTATCTGTTGTAGCTGATATTCTTGTCAAATACATTGATTGCATGCTTAAATGTTACAGTAATATCAAATTACCTTAAAAGTTTATCAGTCTGTTGGCTCAGCCTGTAATCCCGCGCCTTTGGGAGGCTGAGGTGAGTGGATTGCCTGAGCCCCCAGGTTCGAGACTCGCCTGGGCAGTGAGACCTCATCTCTGCAATAAATAAAAAAAAAATCAGCCGGGCGTGGTAACGCATGCCTGTAATTCCAGCTACTCGGAAGGCTGAGGCAGAAGGATCACTGGAGCCCAGCAGGTCAAGGCTGCGGTGGCCGGGAGTGGCCACTGCACTCCAGTCTGGGCAACAGAGTTAGACTCCAACTCAAAAAAAAAAAAAAGTTTATAAATCCTCCTCTCCATTTCTTTATTTGTCTCATCACACACCAGTAAGTATGTGTGACCAGCACTGGTCTGGCAGCCACACTGAGTATCACCGATTTGCAGTATGTAATTAGAAATGGCTGTTTTGAGTGTTGACAAATTAATGATTGTGTTTACTTTCATTGATAAAACTTCTATATAGCATTTATATAGTAATTATAATGGAAAAAACATATGCTCACTTAAATGCAAGTTTCTCTTTCGGGCAAAAATATTGAAATAGATTTGACTGAAACGGTTAAAGATGTACATGGTTTACAGAGCACAGAACGTCCTCCAGTTTTTGTTTGTAGCATCTGAATCCTTCTGAGGTTTAATGTTCCAGTGGGTACTCTCCATCATGTGCACTCACAACTTTCGTTACCCAGTGCCGTCTCCTCTGCAGGTCCTCATCTCGAGCTGCTCCCGGTGTAGGACTTGTGACTGTCTCGTCCATGATGAGGAGATCATGGCCGGCTGGACGGCGGATGACTCCAACCTCAACACAACGTGCCCATTCTGTGGCAACCTCTTTCTGCCCTTTCTGAACATTGAAATAAGAGATTTAAGGCGACCTGGAAGGTGATGACTTATCTTTTCCTTCATGTTTCAGGGTCATGTTTCCTAGAATATTCCTTTTCTCAGAAAGCTCCTTTGACTCACATTGCAGGTACTTCTTGAAGTCTAGCCCATCTACAGAAAATGTACATTTTCCCTCCTCCTGCCCAAGCCAGACGAGGCCGCCTTGCATTTCCGCATCAGCCTCGGGTCTTGACACATCTGCTGTCTCTGTTCAGGGGAATTTTGATCTAAATAGGTAATTATGATTATGTGGAACTATATCTTAACATTTATTATGCATGATTTAGAATTAGGACAAAAGGCTGGGCTCAGTGGCTCAGCCTGTAATTCCAGCACTTTGGGAGGCTGAAGTGAGTGGATTGCCTGAGCCTGCGGGTTTAAGACCCATGTGGGCAACTTGGCGAGACCTCATCTCTACAATAAATCAAAAACTAACCGGGCATGGTAGCACACGCCTATAGTTCTAGCTACTTGGAAAGCTGTGGCTGAAGGATCGCCAGAGCCCAGCAGGTCGAGGCTGCAATGGCAGGAGCATGCCACTACACTCCAGTCTGGGCGACAAAAGTGAGACTCCAACTCAAAAAAAAAAAAAGGAAAACAAGTAGGACAGAAAAATTAACTGACCAATCCCAGGTTTAAATTTCTATGAATAATAGGTTCATAATCTTAAATTCTTACTCCTAATTAAAACAACATTAAAATTCTCTAATATCTTCAATGTTTAAATATGAACAGCTACATGTTAATGCTTTATTAATCCCCAAAGTTTAAGCTGTATATCTATGAGGTAATGCTGCTATACTTTAAAGGTAAAAAAATTGTAGAAAATTTACAGTTTGTAATGATTATCGTTTTATTATCTCCATCTCTTCAGGAATTAGGTCAATACTGACTTCTACTTTGGCATATTTAATTTTTTAATTAGGATATTTAATAATCTAAGAAACTTTTAAAGGTGCTATAGGAGCAATGAAATTAAACTAGGCCTTTATAGTGAGGCTATTTATAAGTAAATCTAATGCAGAAATCAACTCCATTTTGCAGAAGTGCCAAGTTAGTTCTTTACAGCTGGACAAATGAAGCTGTGTTGGTGGCTGCATATGTAATAAATGCCTGTGTAACCTTTGCAAACTACAGACCCATCTGGTTGTGAACATATAGGCAGTCAGGCTGTAATCTGTGCATGCCCCTTCTCTCATTGGGCTTTCTTGTGCCTCACCTTTGTCTCCTGTAGCTCCCAGAGGGACATCTGCCTTTTGTGTCCCCTGGGCCTGGTGTGCTTCCTGCTAGATAGACATCCACTACGTGCTCCGAATAAATGAATGAATCTTGAATATTTAAAGTACACTTAATAGACCGGACTCAGTGACTCAGCCTGTAATCCCAGCACTTTGTGAAGCCGAGGCAAGTGGATTGCTTAAGCCCGCGGGTTCGAGACCAACCTGGGCAAATTGACGAGACCTCGTCTCTACAATAAATAAAAAAAATTAGCCGGGCATGGTAATGCACGCCTGGAGTTCCGGCTACTTAGAAGACTGAGGCGGAAGGATTGCCAGAGCCAGCGGGTCGACGCTGGGGTGGCCATGAGACTTCAACTCAAAAAGAAAAATAAAGTACATTTAATAAAAATGGAAATTTAGCATGATTATATTACTTAAAAATATATTGTTTCCCAGCTGCAGCCTGAGTAGCATATTTCCTTTTATTTATTTTGCTGTGTCCAGCTCTGATTCTAAGAAGAACATGGTTCTTCTAGATTAAATAAAGCAAATCTAAACACTAATATGCTTTTTTCTCTTTTGAAGCAAATCTAAACTGCAGGAAAATTTCTGTACCCGAAGTATTCAGATCCCTGCTAATAGATCAAAAGCAGCGATGTCAAAATGTCCACTATTTCCAATGGCCAGAAGTATAAGCACTTGTGGCCCCTTGGACAAGGAGGACACTGAGGGACAGAAACTTATTCCTACAGGCAGCCTTCCAGCCACTTTGCAAGGAGCTACAGTATGTATTTCAGTGTTTTTTTTCAAATTTGGTAACTGATCACTTGTATATGATTGTGTTCCCCTTGTCCAGAGTGGTCTTATTAGTTTAATCTTATTAATGCTGAGATGAGTCCCTGCTCCCATGATACATTTAAATTACCTTTTTACTAATATAGAAATTACTGGTAGGAAATTTTTATATGGTTTACTATTATCATTCTTGTATTTGCCACTTATAGTTTTTATTTATCCCACAGGATTCTTTAGGATTCGAATGGCACCTTCCAAGTCCAGATCCTGTCACTGTCCCATATCTTAGTCCTCTAGTGGTGTGGAAGGAACTTGAAAGCTTGTTGGAAAATGAAGGTGACCATGTGATAACAGTGGCCGACTTTGTGGACCACCATCCGATTGTGTTTTGGAACCTGGTGTGGTACTTCAGACGCCTTGACTTGCCCAGCAACTTACCAGGATTGATTCTTTCTTCTGAGCACTGTAATAAGTATTCAAAGGTATGAGACTGAAAAGTAACTAAAAATCAGTGCTGTTCTCACTACTGTAATGTTTGCATATTCTTAATGATATAAAATATTGGTTTTTATGCTAAGTATTTTAATAAACATTTAAAACATCAGATTAAAAAACTGTTTTAGTTGCATTTATAAATAATTTTTTTTTCTTCTTATAGTCTAGCAGTAAGGGAGTCATTTTTTAAATAACTTCCTTCTAAAATTTACATAAAATGTTCTTAAATTTTTATTATAACTTCAAGAATAAACTGGAGATGACTCTTAAAAGGAGAGTTTGTGAGTTAGCCCCACTCATATCTCATACCTCTTTTAGAACAAACCTGAAGGCCGGACACAATAGCTCATACCTGTAATCCCAATATTTAGGAGGCTGAGGCAGGAAGATTGTTTGAGCTCAGGAGTTCGAAACCAGCCTTGGCAACAAAATGAGACCTCATCTCTGCAAAAATAAAATTAGCCGGGTGTGGTGGCGCGTGCCTATAGTCCCAGCTACTCAGACAGCTGAGGTGGGAGGATCGCCTGAGCTCAGGAGTTCGAGGATGTAGTGAGCCGTGATCATGCCACTGCACTCTAGCCTGGGTGACAGAGAGTGAGACCCTGACACAAAAATAAATAGATAAAAAATTTTTAAGCCAGGCTCGGTGGCTCAGCCTGTAATCCCACGCCTTTGGGAGGCTGAGGTGAGTGGATTGCCTGAGCCCGCGGGTTCAAGACCTGCCTGAGCAACTTGGCGAGACCTCATCTCTACAATAAATCAAAAAATCAGCCGGGCGTGGTAGCGCATGCCTGTAATTCCGGCTACTCGGAAGGCTGAGGCAGAGGATTGCCGGAGCCCAGCAGGTCGAGGCTGTGGTGGCCGGGAGCGGCCACTGCACTCCAGTCTGGGTGACAGAGTGAGACCCCAACTTAAAAATTAAAAATTAAAAAAAATAACAAGCCTGGCACTGTTTTAGGAGGATGTCTACACAGCAGTCTCCCTTATTTGCAGTTTTGCTTTCCGATGTTTCACTTACCCTTAGTCAACTGTGATCCAATAATATTCCATGGACATTTCTAGAAATAAACAGTTCATAAGTTTTATATTGTACACTTTTTGAGTAGCTTGATGAAATCTCATGCTGTCCTGTTTGGGGTGTGGAACCTCCCATCGTCTAATATGTTCATGCTTCATACATACCTATCCGTGTGTCACTCTGTGGCCACCTATTATAAGATCCACTCTCATGGTATCGCAATGCTCAGGACTCGTCCCACGCGCAAGAGCAGTGACACTGGCATGCTGTTATCATCGTTGGGCTTTATTGTCAGTACTGTGGTCCATCTCTTATTGTTCTGATTTATAGACTCAGCTGTATCATAGCTATGCCTGTTTAGCAAAAAGCACATCACGCATGGGCTCGGTGCTGTTTGTAGTTTCAGGCATCACTAGGAGCAGAACATAGTCCCAAGGATAAAGGGGACTGTTGCAATTCGTGTTCTGCCATGTACTGTCACTCTCTCTGTGCCTTTCCTTGGAGTTTTTGCTCACCCTTTAGGCAATTAGTTTGTTGTATGTCCTTTTGCAGTTTTGACATGTTGTTCTGTACAAGTGTCTGCTTTTCTATATGCTGCTGCTGCCACTGGGCGGCAGTTTCTGAGTTCAGGAATTTTGTCTCTCCCTTCCTGTACCTCACGCGTGTGATGTGTGTGTGCCTTAGATGTTCAGTGCCTCATAAGCCTAAGCGAGTGACTATGTGTTACCTCAGTCAGAGGGATCTGGGTCTTGGATGATAGAGGGGGACTCCTGGATTTATCGTTCTGGGAACCTCGTCACAAGCAGGGGTGGGATGACCTGCTTGTCTCCCTTTCTTGCTCGTCTCAGGGCTTTGTTCGGTGTGCCACCATCCTCCTTAGGTGGATTGCAGATGCATATAAATCAGTCATTTTCTGTTCTTTTCTCTCTTGCACACGTCCTAAAATTATTTATAAGGACTTTGTAAAATACTTACAAAAACTTATCATGTGAAGATCATTAATTAATGTTTGTTTATTCTGCAACACAGATTCCCCGCCATCGTATGTCTGAAGACAGTAAACACGTCTTAATACAAATGCTGTGGGACAACATGAAGCTGCACCAGGACCCGGGACAGCCCCTGTACATTCTCTGGAATGCCCACAGTGAGTGCCCAGGGGGGCTGGCACGCATTCAAGCAGTCTAAACCGATGCTCACCTGACTTGTATTTTCCTGTACTGCTTTTTGTCTTACAGGTCAAAATCGTACTCTTTTGTTTGAGAGTGAGTGTGAGTTTGGTTTTTTAGTGCTACCTTCCGTGGAGGTCAAGTGTTTGTGGTTCTTGTTTTGGTTTTGAGGGGTGCTTTTTATGTGCTGGAGGGATCGGGTATATTTAAGAGTCCGCTTCCATCACATTGCTTGGCCCAGTTTCCTCTTTTTTACTTTTTATTTGTTTCCATCCCAGGCTGCTGATACAGACTTTTCTTCAGGGACTATAATAAGGAAACAGTATTTTAGTTATTGTCTATTTGAGACCACAAAAAGCTTTAGACCTTTTTTGTCATGATTTGTCTTAATTTTTCCCTTTTTGCTTTCTTCATTCTTAGATTCCTGTTTCTTTCTTGCCCTTCATTTATCTGTAGTGCTTTGTAACTTCTTTAATACCCGTCAGTTGCCACTTGATTTCTTTCTCTTTTCTACACAGAACATTTTCCTTCACCTGCTTTTTTGTTCTGTTACAGCCCAAAAATATCCAATGGTCCATTTATTGCAAAAAAGTGATAACTCATTTAACCAGGAACTATTGAAGAGTATGGTAAAGAGCATTAAAATGAATGATGTCTATGGACCAATGAGTCAGATTTTAGAGACACTGAATAAGTGCCCGCATTTTAAAAGACAGCGGTGAGTTCTTCTCTTAGATGGACATATTGTTCTTCTAAGCATGTTCATGTGTTTGCTTCATAATTATTGAAATGTCTCATGCCATGTAGGCATAAAGGTTTATTAGGGAACATCTAGACTATGTGGATATTAACATTTTTTCCCACACCTTTTCCCCCTAGGAGTTTATACAGAGAAATCCTGTTTCTCTCACTCGTGGCATTGGGAAGAGAAAACATTGACATAGGTAATTCAGCATTATATATAACAGGCGTGGGTCCCCAGTCCCTGGGCTGTGAACTGGTACCAGTCGTGCCCTGTTAGGAACCAGGCCTTGCAGCAGGAGGTGAGGGATGAGCAAGTGGAGCTCCGCCTCCTGTCAGATAAACAGAGGCATTAGATTCTCATAGGAGTGCAAATCCTATTGTGAACTGCACATGCAAGGGATCTAGGTTGTACGCTCCTTATGAGACTCTAATGCCTAATAATACTCTCCCCCAATGGAAAAATTATCTTCCATGAAACCTGTACCTCATGCCTAAAATGTTGGGGACTGCTGATATATAATATACAATATTATGAATCATGGTATAGTTTTCTCTTTTTTTATTTTAAAGGCTTGGGGTGCAATTCAGGATTAGGTACATAAGTGATCATTGTACAGGTGAAGTTTGGGCCTCCCCCTGGTCCTCACTTTGCCTGGTTTGGGATCAGGTACACTTACTGATGTTATGTGTCCCCCCCACACACAGCGTACCCCTGCCAGCAGTATCCTACTACTGCCAATCCCTTTCATGTAGTATGATAATTGTTCAGGGTCACTTAAAAGTGAGAACATGCGGTACTCAGTTCTTTGTTTCTGTGATAGATCACTGAGTATAATAGACTCTAAACCCATCCAAGTTGCTGCAGAGTCCATAATTTTGTCCTTTTTTACAGTTTTGTAATATTCCATCATGTATATGTACCACATTTTTTTTATCCAATCCACTTACGATGGGCAGCATGGTTGGTTCCATGTTTTTACTATTGTGAATAATGCTTCTCTAAACATGCGTGCACAGGTGTCTCTTTTGCAGAATGACTTGAGTTCCTCTGTTTTTATACTGGTAACTTTAATATTCTATTAATGTTAAATTAATTTTTTGGAGAATTTTTTTTTTTTTTTTTACCTAATGTAAAAGGTACTTTGATACTTTGGTCATGGCAATAATAATAATAAGTAATAACTTCTTCAGGTTTACTATATGCTCACACTATAGCAGGTACTTTCTGTGTATTATCTCATGTGTCTCCTGCAAGGCAGGTCCTGTTATCATTCCTTGTTATTGTTGAGGAGACTGAGGTCTGAGGGGTTGGTAACTCAACCTCAGGTTCTATAGTAAACAGCAGAGCTGTGTGGACCAGCAGTCTCAATGTTTCAACCCCATGCTTTAACGATTGTGTCATATCATTAGGACACTGAGATTGTTCAGAAAGGATACGAGGCAGTTGAACACACATGTAGCAGTTCCCGACTTCAGTCTGTCCTCTCCTCCCAGTTGAACATACATGTAGCAGTCCCGACTTCGTGGTCTATCTACACAGTCTGGTCTACCCAGAATAGGCAAGTCTATAGTGATGGGAAGTAAATTGTTGGTTTCAGGGACTAAGGAGAGGGGTAAATGGGGAGGGATTGATAACTGGCATGAGGGCTCTTTATGGTGAGATGAAAATGTTCTGGAATTAGGCAGTGGTGACAGTTGTACTGTTTTATGAATAAACCAAAAAACTTTAAATTGTACACTTTAGTGAATTGTATGGTATGTGAATTACATCCCAATTTTTTAAAGTTAATCTGACAAAAAAGGACTAGTCAGGAAAATTCCTTAAAAACTCACTAGAAAGGTTTTGCCCTTCTAGAAGCTACTGTATAATTACAGCAGAGTTATGCTAGCACATGCAGAGCCAGAAAACTCAGTAGTGCAGAAGAGAATCTAGAAAAAGACACAAATATCTGGAAATGTAATATATAATACAGTCAGGAAAGGTAGACTATTAGGTGGTGTTGGGACAGTCATTATAGCCACTTGGGAAAGATGTGAGAACTTGCAGAAATCAGTGTTCTTGAGTTAGGCCTTTAAGGACAGTGAAACAGCAAGGACACCAGGAAGGATGGTTCGGCTCCTTGTCACCAGCCCTTTATTCTCCAGGCCATCCAAGCCCATCTCCTGGATAGAGGTTACCCTGGCCCTTGGCTGACGGTAGGATTTCCTTAAATGTCTAATGGATTCTGGCCTCCATCTGAGGAGACTCACGTGCTTATGCAAGGGGCCCTCCATGCAAGCCAGCCTTCCGCGCACCACGGTGGTGCTATTCAGAGGGGATCTTCTTACACCTGTCACCTCCCCAAGGCAGAAATGTGGATACTCATGACATTCAGACGTAATTTGTACCTCATCTGGACCTCTGAGCAGCTTATTTTTCCCTATACGTTTTTTTGTTTGTTTGAGTCAGAGTCTTACTCTGTCACCCAGGCTGGTGTGCAGTGGCTCACTCACGGCCACCCCAGCGTTGACCTGCTGGGCTCTGGTGATCCTTCCACCTCAGCCTTCCAAGTAGCCAGAACTACAGACATGCACTACCACGCCTGGCTAATTTTTTGATATACCATAGAGATGAATTCTCACCAAGTTACCCAGGCTGGTCTTGAACCTCTGGGCTCAGGCAGTCATCTTGCCTTGGTCTACCAAAGTGATGGGATTACAAGCTTAAGCCACCGTACCAGGCCTAATATGTGTTTAAAATCAGCAGGAAGTTAGCACAATTTCTAGCCTGAGAAAAACTTAGCAGAAACTTGTAAACCTGTATCTTCCCTTTTTGTCAAATGTGGATCATCTTCTGGGAAAGGCACACAGACCTTAGCACAATGTCCTTAATAATAAAAGGGACAGAACATTAGCTCTGTCCCATGAGAAACAGGAAAAACGTTGTAACATGGTGATGTCCAAAGATCTCTGGGTTGTTTTCCTGGGATATCCCTTAGTAGAAATGGACACATAAACCAGAATAAATTCCAGTTGGAGCAAAATTTAAATGTAGAAAATGAAACAATATAAGAACTAGTATAAAGAAAATATGGGCAAAAATATTTTTGTTAATCCTGGTGGGAAATGGCCATTATTTATTTTTCTTGCTTTTATTGAGTATGAAAAGCAAAGTACAAAAACTGTGTGTGTGGTATTTGGCGGTTTTTAACACCTGGACTTAGAAGAATTAAAAATTGGCATCTTAAACTTGAGGTTTTGTGGTCTATGTGGTCTAGCTTGGTCCCTTGAATAGCAACAGCCTCCTAGAGATTCCTTCTTGGCCTCTAATTTTGAGGTTCTATAGTATTAGAGAACTTTGATCATTGTCAGCGTCAAACATATATTTCTTATGCATTTATTTCTGTATGAATTTTGCAGATGCTTTTGATAAAGAGTACAAGCTGGCATACGATCGTCTCACACCAAGTCAAGTCAAGAGCACACACAACTGTGACAGGCCACCGAGCACGGGGGTGATGGAGTGTCGGAAAACCTTTGGAGAACCTTATCTTTAAAATGTGCGTGTGTATATTCAGTGTACATTGTATAGTCAGTGTGTAAAATAACACTTTTAGACTCTAGACTTTTTTCTTCAATTCTGAGATCCAGTTTGTAAATGGCCCAGAAGGTCCACCCAGTTTGTGTACAGACTGTTAGGAAGAGGACAGTGGCCAGTGAGGAAAAGCCGTGTTATTTCCCTTTTTTTTTTTCCCTATTTAACTCCTCTGTAATAAGTAATTAAGTATTTTTGTGATGAGGGAATCCCTACCCAAAATTAGTTGCCATAAAATAAGACAACTGTTTTATGGTTTCTCTCAGAAAAGACGGATTGAAAAATCATGGATGGAACCTAAACAGACATGTGAGATCAAAGCGTTTTCTGATTTCATAGACTGTTCAGACGTTTTGACCATGAAGTTGTATTATATATATTTTAAATTGTTTATAGTAAGTTGATATTTTTTTAATTTTTAAATTTAATATAGCAAACTTAAAATGAATTTAAACTTATAAAGCAAGCAAGTGCTTATTTTCCTTTTCTGCTGCTATTTGAAGTAATTAGTGCAGCTGCAGATCTCCCTATGTGTATATCTGTCTATATTTTTTTTATTCCTTGGGAGAATGGATTTTAAAATGTCAGTGCTAGTGTCAGTGTTGTCCTAGGATTGCATGTTAGTGCCCTGACTTGACTGCACTGAAGAAGTCATGCAAGGGGGTGCCCCACCCAGGCCAACTCATCAAGCCTTGTGAGGGGAGCACCAGAGTCCACTGTGCCACGACTCTGGAATGTTCTTTGTTGCAATGGATACATGCAGTGCACAGGGAGACCGCTTACAAATCCAAATATCCATTGAAACTTTAACATCCTACATGAAAACTTACATTGGGAAATATGCAGACAGTTGACTCTGTTCCAAATTTTACCCTTAATTTAATATCTAAAATATTGGGAATGATGCAAATTATACTACAGAATATTTATCTGAAATATGAGTTACTGAGATATTCTGTTAATACTATATATAAATATTCAAAATATTTTTTCAAAAGTAGAAAAATAACCCTCTAAAAGTACAGCTTTTCCCATATTGAGGAACTTAGCTTTTTCAAGAAGCTTCAATGTCTGAAGTGTGTGGAAACTAATATGCAGAAATATCCAGAAATCAGACAATAAATTGTTTTGAAACACCATGAGTATTAGACTTTAAAAATATTTTTTAGTCACAGTATTTCTAATATCACTTTCTTTGGGTAATCTCTGATAAAGAAAGGACATTTTTTGGCTGTTAGAAGTACTTACAGGTTGTCAGTGTGTGTGCACCCATGATCACTAATGGAGGGATCACCTCACCGATTTTAAATAAGAAAAAAAGTGGTTGGTCCTAGACCAGGCGTGTGAAGCCATGGAATCCATGGCACGTGGATCGTGGAACAGAGATTTAGAGCCAGCTCAGCTGCAGGAGAGCTACCTTCACGTTCACACCATGCTTCCCACTCTGGAAAGTCACGGGATGTACAGCTTTAGCTCACTTGGTCTGGGACTGAACTTGCTTACTTGAAAAACCTGGTGCTTTGCACATGTGTCTGCCCCTCCTGTGTCAGTATCACTCCAATCTTACTCTTCATATTCAAGTCAGGCTTCACATGTCAGCTGTTCTTCAAAGCACTTACAAGTTGTCACTAAGAGAAGCATTTGCTAGAGAGGCTTTTGGTGCTGGCAGTCAGTGTCCCTCCACCAGGATTCTGGGGTTCTCTTCTCTCTGTTGGTGGTGGCATTTGTTTTTGGTTTTTTTCCCGTAATCCCAGCACTTTGGGAAGCTAAGGCCAGAGGATTTTTTTTTTTTTAGTTGGGAGTCTCACATCATTGCCCAGGCTAGAGAGCAATGGCACACTCACAGCCACCCCAGCATCAACCTGCTGGGCTCTAGCGATCCTTCTGCCTCAGCCTTCGCCCAGCTAATTTTTTATTTATTGTAGAGACAAGGTCTCGCCAAGTTGTCCAGGCTGGTCTCAAACCCACGGGCTCAGGCAATTCACTCGCCTCAGCCTCCCAAAGTACTGGGATTATAGGCTGAGTCACTGAGCCCTGCCATTGTTTTTATTCTTTTATAAAAACAGGTCGGGCTTGGTGGCTCAGCCTGTAATCCCAGCACTTTGGGAGGCCGAGGCTAGTGGATTGCCTGAGCCCGCGGGTTCGAGTACCCCTGGGCAACTTGGCAAGACCTCATCTCTACAATAAATCAAAAATTAGCCAGGCGAGGTAGCACATGCCTGTAGTTCCAGCTACCTGGAAGGCTGAGGCGGAAGGATCACCGGAGCCCAGCAGGTTGAGGCTGCGGTGGCCGGGAGCAGCCACTGCACTCCAGTCTGGGCGACAGAATGAGACTCCAACTCAGGAAAATAAAAAAATAAAAATAAAAACAGCTTTCCCTGGTTTACTTTTTCTGTAATGCAAACAATATGGAGGAATCATAACATTGATTTCAAATGTCTGACGAAATAAGAACAAGGTGAAGCCATCTTGATAATTCAGCCTCATTTGGAAACGTGAGTGTAATTTGTACCCCTCCTTCCCCCAAGTTTTGTTTCTGCTTTTGGATAGAGTTATATTCTCCTACTTTTAATCTCCAAGGAATATTATCACACAAATTTAGTCTTTATAAATAAAACCTGGCCGGGCTCAGTGGCTCACACCTATAATCCCAGCACTTTGGGAGGCCAAGGTTAAGAGGATTGCCTGAGTTTGAGACCAGCCTGGGCAACTTGGTGAGACTTCATCTCTACAATAAATTAAAAAAATTAGTCAGGCATGGTGGCGCGTGCCTGTAGTTCCAGCTACTTGGAAGGCTGAGGCAGAAGGATCACCTGAGTCCAGCAGGTTGAGGCTGTGGTGGCCGTGAGCATGCCACTACACTCCAACCTGAGCGACAGAGTAAGACTCCGACTCAAAAAAATAAAAATAAAAATAAAAAACCTAAAACATGAATAGAAAGTGGTAAACCTGCTCAAAAGATTAAAATTTGAGTCATCTTTCAAAGTGAGTCTCTGCAAACTTTCTTCAGTTCTCTCTCTGTTGACCATTTATCTTGGAACTTCATAGCCAGTCCTGTGGAAAGAGACACCCTTTGCTACATTATTTATCTCTTCTTACTCTTAGTTTTGTTTAAATGTTTAAATTGTTAAAAATAAACCATACTCTGTGTTTATATAATGTGTTTACTACTTCTTACCATTATGTTTTGGCTGTCACGCTTTTGTATTTCATATCATATTTCAAATATTCAACTTTTTTCTCCTACTGTTTGATAGGGAATTATGCAGCTGTTCGCCTTGTCATTTTTATATTTTTTTCTCCTGACTTGCTTAGGGCTTTTTGCTTTAAAACCCTAAAGCCACCAGCATATTTAATTATAATGTTTTTTAGTATGTCTCTCCATTTTTGTATTCAAATAAATGGGCCCAGAAAATGTTGGCCCAAATTTTAGACAGTAAATACTTATTTTTACTTCATGCTGGTAATTACTATGGTGCTGAAGTGCAAATGGCAAGTATTAGCCAGCTCTACGTAAAAGTGATGTTTTATTTCTAAATGTGGGTCGAGCATCTGAAATCCAAAGTGCTTAAACTTCTGACACTTGTTGAGTGTCAACATGATGCTTGCTCCAAGGAAGTGTTCATGGGAGCATTTTGCATTTCAGATTTTCAGATTTAGAATGCTCAACTGGAATGTTTCCTTCAAAGTCCAAAATCCAAAACATTCGAAATCTAAAACACTCTGGTTCCAGCATTTCAGGTGAAGGGCACTGAGCTGGCACTTCAGCATCTTGTGTAAGCAGATACCTCCCTGTTTGGTACTGTGCAGCAGGCTGGCTTGATTTCCCCTTCATGCAGTGTCTCAGAGCAGGAGGGAAGGGCGGCTGTCCGAGCTGCCCTTGTCCTGGGCTGGGCCTCTTCCTATCTGCTTGGCCTCTTCCTGTCTGGAGCTGAGACTTCAGGCTGAACTCAGCTGCATGCGGCTGCCCCTCCCTCCTTGTCCTTGGTGTCAAACCATCCCTCATGCTGCTTTCTCCTCTGGCCTCAGGTCAACACATTTGCTCATTTCGTTCCTTTTGCTTACAAAATCAGCACTACACACATCAGCATAGGAATTCCTGTCTGATTACTCAAGTCTGTGCACATGTGCATGTGCCCTGAGATTCTGAGTCTAGTGATGTTATTGCTGCCCTCCTGCACTGCTGTTCACTTGGATGGCGCCCCCTTTTGTATTTGAAGATTTTCTTTTCACATGTAGTACTATGATCAAACCTCTACAGCAGCTTTTCTATAAGTGACGTTCTCCAGTGACAGGCCTGTCACCATGTAGGCAGACGTGGGTCAAGGTGTCCTGCCAGGCCTACTGGGGCCCTCACTGTATGTACTGGGGGACCCTACCCCTAAAACGGGTCAGAGCCCACAGCATTCATTAGCATATAAGGCACTGGTTCTTCCCAATTATCTGGCAGTAAGTTCCAATTCCTGCCCCCTTTGGTACTCAGTCTTTAAATAAATGATAATTTTGATGGAAAGTTATTAAAGACCAAGCCTGCAATTTGATAAAACCATTTTCATATCTATTGATGACAGAACTGTATGATGTTCAAAGTGCATAGTAACCATTTAAACACATACCAGTTTTCAAAAATTTGGAATACATTCCTTTTTCTGGTAAAATATAGAATCCTAACCCATTAAATTAGGAAAATGTTAACATTTTTAGAAATCTGGCCCAAACCTATTACCATCAAGAAAGTGCAAGCCTGGGGGGTAAAGGAACAGCATCCATGTAGCCATGTCTTCTAGATCACACACCCACATAGGACAGTTCACATTTCTAAAGCTTAGAATGACCTAGAATTTGTCACAGGTGACTAGATGCAGAGTATTTTGCCTATCAAATGAGCGAACCATTTAGATATTATCTTGACATCTTAAAATGGTACTGTACCTCTAAAACAGCATGATTTTAATGTTCTAATAAATTTGTAAATGTGACCAAAATTTTAATTTCCAGGCATAACAAATTGGCCCTTATATAAGGGCCAGTTGTGGTGTCTCACACTTGTAATCCAGCACTTTGGGAGGATGAGGTGAGAGGATTGCCTGAGCCCATGGGTTCAAGACCAACCTGGGTAACTTGGCGAGACCTCATCTCTATAATAAATCAAAAAATTAGCCGGGCATGGTGGCATATGCCTATAGTTCCAGCTACTTGGAAGGCTGAGGTGGAAAGATCACCTGAGCCCAGTGGTTCGAGGCTGCAATGGCCGTGAGCGAGCCACTACACTCCAGCCTGGGCGACAGAGTGAGACTCTGAATCAAAAAACTAAAAAATAAATATAAAATTACTTAAGTTTTCCATCTCTTTTCCTCTTCCCTCCCTCCCTGTGAATTCTACTCGTCCATCAAGACTCAGCTTTGTTTGCACTTGTCTTTTCTGTCATGGTGTGAAGTGGTCAGAACTTCCTTTCTAGAGAAAGGAAACAGCAAAACTGGAAAAAGGGTGTCAGCTCATTAGTTTTAATAACTAAGTAGCTTTGTGTGCACTTGGTCATTCCACGCCTCACTGTCCCACCTCTCCCTCAGTCTGAGAGCATCAGACCCCAGGCTGGGGTGAGGTGACATCCCCAGGGATAACTGGGCACAGACACTAGGTAGCACCTGAAATATTGGTATTGGGGTCTCTCCCCCCTGCACCACAGACCCTGTGACCACAGCCTGTGGAGGCCCAGCTGGGCAGCAGCCTCAGGAACAAGGACAGTTACCATAAGCACATGGAATGTGACATGACTCTGAATCCTCCAGGCTCAGCTGAGCACTGACCAGGTGACCTGAAGACAGATGTGCCCACCCATGTTTGTGAAGTTCAATACGACTGGGTTCACAATGTACTGAAATTTAATAAAAATTATTTCCAAGTCGGGCTCGGTGGCTCAGCCTGTAATCTCGTGCCTTTGGGAGGCTGAGGTGAGTGGATTGCCTGAGCCTGCGGGTTCGTGGCCCGCCTGGGCAGCGAGACCTCATCTCTACAATAAATCAAAAACTAAGCTGGGCGTGGTAGCGCATGCCTGTAATTCCGGCTACTTGGAAGGCTGAGGCAGAAGGATCGCTGGAGCCCAGCAGGTGAGGCTGCGGTGGCCAGAAGCGGCCACCAGGAGCGGCCACTGCACTCCAGTCTGGGCGACAGAGTGAGACTCCAACTCAAAAAAAAAAATTATTTCCAAAGGGTGAGAGTCCTGGGGTAGCGAGGCAGTTGTTAGCCAGTTCATCTTGAAAGGTGGCATACTTTGAACACTTTAGTTGTCCTCCACTGCCAAAATATATTTTGTTTTGTTTTGTTTTGCATCACACCTGTCCTGTCTTGTCATCTTGGTGAATCATTCTCATGTCTGCAGTTAAAGCCATATTTACATCATTGCAGCCTCTTCAGCTCACTCTGCTCTGAAGCCAGTGATAGAAGCTGGTTTATTTCTAACGTGCCCCTGAACTTGATTCTAGTAAAAGCAGCAAGCAGTAGTACTTAATACACAAATACATCAAGGTCCACATAAAACCTTTAACCACGTTTCTTTAAACTCCAGTGTCCTTGACACCAGCTACACTGGGAGTAGTAACGCCCTTTTCTCACTGTGCTGTCACTGTGTTCAGCACCTTTAGAATTTCCCCTTTATAACTGCCTATTTGTAAACCACACAGGCAGCAAGTGTCTTGCTGTATAGTCCTGTCTGGGTTGACATCAAAATAGCCGTGTCCCCCAGATCTCTGGCTTTAGAAGCCAGATGTGGCTCTGCTGACTTTGGATCTAAATGATATCCGTTCCCCATGGCAGCTGGGCCAGGCAGCTTTGTTGGCCTGTCTGACCCCTCAGGTGACACCAATGGAGACACAGGAATTAGGATTTTCTAACAAACATATTTTTTTAGTAGCCCTCTGGGTTTTCTTTTCCTAATCACTACTCCTTCCAATTCAAGGGAAAGTGATAGACTCATTTCTCAGGCTGCTGTTTTAATTTTACTTTTCAGAAACACAGCAGTGGGAATAGAGTCCTCCTTGTAAGCTAGAAAAGACAGGTCTGCATCCAAAATCCATGCGCTGCAACGTGGGGTGGTCACTGATTCCTACGTTACTGCTTTTCTACAGCCTTGGCTCCTTAAACTCACCAGTAACTGAGCCTATAGCGATTGCAAACCTGATAGCACCTCACGTTTTGAAAAGGAAAAGAGGGCACAGCAAACCACAGTGTGGGCTGGGGCAGGGGCCAGGAGGGCTGGGTGTGGCATCATCTGCATCCTCTAGCCCTATGGGCTTGCAGGGATGTCGGGGATGGAGCACGGGTGCTTGTCTGCTGCTGGGCTCACCCCAGCTGTCTCTTCAGGGTCCTGCTCCTACATTCATGTCACAAATGGCCTGAGTCAAGGGTCCGTGGTGAGGGTCCTAGTCCGTGGTGAGCTGGTGGGTCACCCTGAGTCAGGGGCCTTAGATAAGGGTCGGCCTGACTTGGAGGCCTCAGAGGAGGGTCAGCCTGAATTGAGCATGGGGTGAGGGTCCTCATTCATGGTGAGCTGCTGGGTCAGCCTGAGTGGAGGACCTGAGATTAGGGTCCTTATCCACAGTGAGCTGCGGGGTTGGACTGAGTTGGCCTGAGGTGAGAGTCCTTGTCCATGGTGAGCTGTGGGGTTGACCTGAGTCGGAGGTCTAGGATGAGGGTCCTTGTCCACAGTGAGCTGTGAGGTCAGCCTGAGTTGGGGGCCTGAGGTGAGGGTCCTTTTCCACAGTAAGCTGCGGGGTCAGCCTGAGTCAGGGGCCTGCGGTGAGAGTCGGCCTGAGTTGGGCATGGGGTGAGGGTCCACAGTGAGCTGCGGGTGTCCAGTCCCAATCATATCCACACAGAGGTTGAGGCCACTCGGCTCGTGGTCCTACATCCTGTTCATCCTTCCATCAGAGTCATGAGAGAGACACAGCTTTGGGCACAGCCTTTGCTCCACAGTGAGGGACTCAGACAGACACAGGACAGGATATGATCCGGTCTTCCAGCATCACGCTGATGATCAGAAACACAAAGTAAAGCAGGAACATGGTGAAGCCCAGGAGCTTGTTCATCTTCCACCTGCACGACGCGATGGACGAGATCACAAACAGGAGCATGAGGAAGAGCAAGACAATTGCACAGAACAGGCCGTTGCTGCTGACCGGGACAGGCAGCAATCCGTTGATGAGGGAGAAGAGCAGCCACGGGACAGGCAGGCTGCGGGTGGAGGAGACGGCATGAACATGCTTGGCACATACGAGAACCCCTCACACTCACATCGCATTTTACAGTTCATAAGGCATGTTTCCATTAGAAAAATAAAAGCCTATGAAGTTGAACTGAAATTACAAGCCCACTTCACAGATGAGGAAACTGAGGTTTGTGGAATTTGAAGCCCTTGTCCAGGGACTCAGCTAATACTTGGAAGAGCTTAGATCAAGACTGACATTCTCTGGTCTTAGCTTTCTGCCTATTCTCTGCTTATTTGTGACTTTTACATGACTCACTCAGATCAGCTAGTGAGTGCTGCTAAGTGTCTACACTTGTATGATCAGGCCTCCCTCAGGTTAATGTTTGTTTAAATTCCTTAGTGGCTAGGCTCGATGGCTTACGCCTGTAATCCCAGCACTTTGGGAGGCATAGGCCTGAGCCCATGAGTTCAAGACCAGCCTCGGCAACTTGGTGAGACCTTGTCTCCACAGTAAATCAAAAAATTAGCCGGGCATGATGGTGCATGCCTGTAGTTCCAGCTACTTGAAAGGCTGAGGCAGAAGGATCACCAGAGCCCAGCAGGTGGAGGCTGCGGTGGGCATGAGCGTGCCACTGTACTCCAGCCAGGGCAACAGAGTGAGACTCCAACTCAAAAAAAAAAAATCCTTAGTGATCAGAGCTCTCCTGTGCCTTTTACTTGCTCCTGCCCAACACACACACACACACACACACACACACACACACACAAATACTCATCAGGGCACACTTCTACCACCCAAATCCAGGGTGTGACTGGGGAAAGAAAACTAGCCCCATGCTCTGTCCTGACAAGGTCGGGAGGACAAGATAGGAGGGTGGAGACAGGAGGGTGACATGTTTGCCTGTTTATACACAATGTTTAGAGCCTCTCAGCTGGCAGGAGTCCAATGGCACGGGAGTAACGAGAGGGGAAGTCGAGTCATGGCTCCTTCAGCCCCACTCCGGCACCTTGATGTCACCAAGCAGAGAAAGCATCTGACCGGATTTGGCCATGGGATGTCCTGGCTTCAGTTTTCAGTTTATCTGTAAGTTCCAGGCAGTGACATTTCAGGCAACATTTTAGCCCCATTATCCCACTTGCTGTGATGAGCGAAGGGAGAATGCTTTGCTGCCCTGTAGAAGTTAACACTAAATGCCCTCATGTCACGTGTATGAGTGAGAACCAGCAAAAAGCCAGTGCAGAGCCCTCCCGTCACATGCAACCAGTCTTGGAAAGGATGTTGCTACTCACCCCACAGTGATGTCGAATATGTTGCTGCCCACAGAGCTGGACACGGCCATGTCCCCCAGGCCCTTCCGTGCAACAATCACACTGGTGATAAGGTCAGGAATGGATGTGCCTGCTGCGAGGATGGTCAGACCCATTATCTCTTCAGAAATCCCTATGGTCTCACCAACCTATAAACAACAGCGACAACAGCAGTGAGAGGCCATGGCGGCCACGTGGATGGGTCTTCATAGCACCAGCCACATGCACCGGAACAGAGCCCATTCCATGGAGCACAATGCGGCCCTCACCACCAGGACTAAGCCCAGAGCCCAGGCTGAAACAGCCAGAGGCAGGGCTTGAAATTCAACTGGATGAAAAGTCGTTTATGCCAGGCCTGCATCACACTGTCTCTCCAGCCCCAACCCTTCACCTCCCCACAAGAATCATCCAAAGATCTGGCCATGCCAGCACTTCTGTGTTCAGGAACATGGACACCTGTGTGCCAGGCACCAAGCTGGGGGCTGGAGGTGGGAGAGTAAGATGGAGGACACAGCCCACCCAGGCCTAGCCAGCAGGGACTGCTGTGTGAGGGCAGTGTTCCAGGCAGATGGAAGTAGGTGCCCAGAGGAGACTAACAAGGGCCTCCTCTGGGAGGAGAGCAGGCGGGAATGAGCAGGCCTGGGGTTCGTGGGTCCCACCAGTGATAGGGACAGGGTGTGGCGAGGGTCAGATGGAAGGCTCCTCAGACAGAGCCAACTGACATTGGGATATGTGGGGCTCGCAGTGTCACATTAGTGTAAGACAAGCCGCACTTGACAAGCACTGCATTCCTGGAATAAAAGGTGCTTCCAAGCCTCTACAAACAGTACAGAAACTGCACACTCACGTGATCCCTGACATGCTTGGGATATGCTGGTGGGGGTTTCCTGCTGCCCACTTACCTGGTGAGCCCACCACACCATGAGGTATGAGAACATGGCTATCCACAGGATGGATCCCAGGAAGGTGAGCACAAAAAACTTCCTGGCCTCCTGCAGGAAGTCAGAGAAGGAAGAGAGGTCAGTCGAAGAGGTGAGAGGTCTGGCCCATCTGGCGGAGCCCTGAATCAGTGGCAAAGCCTGCAAGTGTGCAGGGGCTCTCTCCAGGGAGGATGTGGGACAACGGGAAAGAGCAGCAACCCCTGCAAGGGAGTCCCCTGGGAGGTGCTCAGCACCAAGCAGAAAAGCTGTCTGCTCACCCCAGAACCAGCCTCCGCAGCTCCCGCCTGCCACTCCTTGCTGATAGGAATGCCGGGTAGAAATAGCAGTTACCTCCCTGGGTTTCACGAATATTCCTATAAAATATGGAGGCAGCATGGTGGCATTCCTCCTCAATTAAAATCAAGAAACTGAGGTGGGGCCAAGGAGGGGCCAGGTGATGCTCTAGGTGGTGGAAGAAGGCACATTTGGGGTTGAGGCCCCAGGCCCTGGGCTGCATCCCTGGGCACGTGGTACCCCAGAGCCGCAGCCCCTCCCTCCTCCATCAGCCCAGCTGATATCCCTGCCCTCTCCCTCCTCTGAGTGGGCCCCAGGTGCCTGGAGACCCACAGCCCGAGACACCGCCAAGGACACTCACCAGCCTCCGCACATCAGGCACCGTCAGCCACAGTGGGAACACGATGGGCAGGAGGAAGAGGTAGATGGCCTGCTTCTTCCTGGTCTCAGGCCACTCCAGGGACAGGGGCTCCTCGCCACCCTCCTCCTCATCCTCATCCTCCTCCTCCTCATCCTCCTCGTCATCCTCATCCTCCTCATCATCCTCATCCTCCTCGTCATTGTCACCTCCATCACTTCCCCCTTCACCTTCTGCATCATTCTTGACTTCACCTTGACCTTCAGTGTTGAGGTCTTGGCCTTCTGCTTCATCTTCATTTCCACCCTCTCCTGTGGGGATCTCGTCTTTACCTCCATCGTCTCCTCTTCCTTCCGCTGTGGTTTCACCTCCTGTTTCATGTCCACCATCTCCTTTTCCTTCACCTTCACCTGCATGTCCATCTCCTCTTCCTTCTTCATCTTCACGTCCACCATCTCCTCTTCCTCCGTTTTCACCTTCACTTTCATCTCCTCTTCCTTCACCTTCATGTCCACCTTCTCCTCCCCCTTCACGTTTATCTTCTTCAGTTTCACCTTCACCTCCTTTGCCTTTTGCACCTTCACGCCCACCTCCTTTTCCTTCTTCATTTTCACCTCCATCATCTCCGCCTTCTTCAGTTTCACCTTCACCTCCTTTGCCTTTTGCACCTTCACGCCCACCTCCTTTTCCTTCTTCATTTTCACCTCCACCTTCTCCTCTTTCTCTTCCTTCACCTCCACCTTCTGCTTTTCCTTCTTCTCCACCTCCACCTTCTGCTTGAGTTCCACCTCCACTTTTCTCTCCAGCTTGACCCTCACCAGGAGTGTCACCCCCTTCGCCTGTCACATCACCTGTGCTCGCAGCTCCAGTCATGTCTTCCTGCAATCCAAAGCCAACAGGTCAGTGCAGCGACTGCTCTGCTTGTTTCCTTCCCTGTTTCTCCCCCATTTTGTTGGGATTTTTCTCAAAATGTATCTGAAAACTCAAGTTCGGAGAGAAACCTGGTGCAGTCTTCAGCAAAATGCCCATTACCTCATCCCCCCCAGTGGCTGTCCAGCTTCTAGTTGATCATTTCCAGGGATGGAGAACTCACATCTAAAGCAACATCTTCAACACCTCTGACTGATTTGAAGTCCATGGGTCTCTTCTTTGGTGCCACACAGAACAAGTTTAATCACTCCAGCATGGACAGCTCCCTTCTCCAGGTTAGGATTCCCAGGTCCTCTGTCATTTTCCCATGCCGTGGCCTAGCGCCTCCACCCCATCTTGGGAAACTTATTCTAATTAGCGTATATCCCCAAGGGGGGCATCCAAAACCAAACACAGAATGCTGCAGAGTACAACAGGACTGTCACCCCCCCGGTCTTAGATACAGTGCTTTTGTTGTGTTGCCCAAAATGGTGTGCCACCTTTAGTGGTCACAGCACATTGCTGAGTCTACTAAAACTCCTAAATTGGGGCCAGGCATGGTGGCTCACACCTGTAATCCCAGCACTCTGGGAGGCCAAGGTGGGAGGATTCCTTGAGCTCAGGAGTTCCAGATCAGCCTAGGCAACATAGCAAGAACTCATCTCTACAAAAAATAAAGATAAAAAAATTAGCTGGTGTGATGGCACACATCTGTAGTCCCACCTACTCAGGAGACTGAGGTGGAAGGATTGCCTGAGCCCAGGATGGGGAGGGAGGCTGTGGTGAGCTGGGATTATGTTACTGCACTCCAGCCTGGACAACAGATTGAGATCCTGACTTAAAAAAAGAAAGAAAGAAAAAGAAAAAAACAGGGCTGAAACCTGTAGACAGGATGCCGGTTCACTGTTAGTTACTCCACCTATGTTGGGCACAGCAGGCAACAGGCACTACGTTTCCCTCCTGGTGGGGGCAGAGACTTGGACTCTGCCTCAGGAACCTCCCACCTGGTGGGAACTGAGTGGCTCAGGATGCTAGGAAGGTAGCGGGCACAGGGCTCCAGGGGTATCCAGATGTAGAGTGATCAAGAAGCCACCTGGCAAAGGAGGGATTGGTACTGGGCCTAGAGGGTAGGCAGGGTGAGGATACGGGACAGTGGGCAGAGGCAATCTCAGAAAGGAAGCCACATGAGCAGGGCCCAGGTGCAAGAGCATGGAGACCAGGGCTTGAGGCTGACGGAAGTGTGAGGGACAAGAGACCAAGGCTGTGAGGAGCAGTGTCAGGGACCGGAGGCTCTGCCGATAAGGCTGAGGCCTTAGGCAGGTGCAGCAAGCAATGAGGAGGCAGAAGCTTCCAGGGCCTCCAGCCGGCAGCCCTCCCACTGCCCTTCGAGCTGCCTGGTTTCACTGTCCCCTAATTGCTGACAGACCCACTGGCAACTGATCCTTTTGTTCTTATAGCACATGGCAGTTCACAATATAGTCTCGATACATGAGCTCACACATATTAAGGTGAGACAGTAAACTGAACCCATGAGGCATGTGTAGAAGGTGATCTCCAGAGAAAGAAGGAGTGATCCTCAGAAAAAATTTCAGAGCTTCAGGGAGAAAGCCTTTCCAGTCAGCAGGTCCTCCCTGGCCTCCCAGTTGTTCTGCCCGTGCAGAAGCTGGCGCCTACCTGACTGCCTGGATTCTCCTGATCTCCCTTGCCATCTGGAGCAGGCGCTGGTGTGACCGTGACTGCAGGGAGCTCGGCCGGTTCCTCCTCTTTAAAGGACAAACACAGGTTAGATCAGAAGAGTGGATGGGTCCTGGGGACATGGGCAGAGACACTGGGTGAGTGGCTACAGGGCTCTGAACTTCAGGGGCTCAAGACTGATGTGGGGTTATTTCAGGTTGGCAGGAAAAAATAGTGTCCACTGAGGTATCTGCAATGGGCAGGGTTAGCTGGGCAGCAGTCATCCTTGCTTCACTGCGTTCACAGATATCTCCATCGTGGCCACTGTAGCCATGGAGACTGTGCCCAGCCTGGGCAGCTGGAGCAGAGGGATAGTGGAGCTCCCAGTATTCAGTCTGACCCATTGGAAAGGACCCTACTGACGGAAAAGGCAGCAGCTGTAAAACCTTGGAGTATGAGTGAGGGCAGGGTGACTTGGAAAGTGGCAGGCTCACTCACTTCTTGGCTATGTGGCTTTGGGCAAGTCACATGACCTCTCTGGACCTCGGTTTCCATGTCTGTGGGATGGGAAGAATGACTGCTGCTGTTTTCCCAGGGGCTGTTGGGTGGCTTGGGCAGTCCTGGCATGCTGTGCAGAGTATGCAGCAGTAGCCATGCCCTCCCTCCACTCCAGTCCTGAACTGCAGAACCCTAGACCCCTGGTGGCCTCCCTCCCTGGGGATTTTGGTTTCAGGCCAATCACTGGCAACACAGGAAGAAGAAAAGAGTCCAAGGGAGTTTCATTTGGAATGAGATTTAGCACAAAGAAGTGGAGTTCAGTGACCCCGGGCTTCCCTGTCTTCCCCACCTGAGGAGGATGGAGGCGCTGCCTGGGGCTACTTGGCCAGACACCACATCAGGAGGAGCACTGGAAGGAGGAGTCCCAAGGCAGGCAGCCCCCTGGGCAGCATCAGATCATCACTGCCCAGCTCAGAGAGGCCAGAAGGGGTGCCTTGGCCCTGCCCGGGCTGCTGACGGGCAGGCAAGGAGCCAGAGGAGGCTGGTGGAACCACAGGACTCACTGCTCACCTGGTTTGTTTTCTTTGGCCTGGGGCTGGGGTCTAGCCTCTGGAGCCAAGCCCTCCTCAGACCCCTTGTCCCTGGAGGGGCGAGCTGCAATGAGAGAAGACACAAGTCTGATCGAGGAGCCCGGGACTGTCCCACCATGCCCACGCCCATGAGGGCAGTCCACCAAACCATCAGGGCTGATGCAGCGGGAAAGGCTGGCCAGGGCCTACTAGGCCCATTCGTGGTGCCAATTCCCAAACCTTTGTCTTAAATGCTCTGCACTGTCACTCACTACCTGGAACCCAGGAGCAACAAACAGGATTTATTTCCCTTAAGGGCTGGAGTGATGGCTGCAGGAGTGCTACCGAGTGGAGGGTTCTAAGTCACAAGCAATAGGAAAGGACCTCGCCAACCAGGATGTCCGAGGCAGGTATGAACACAGGAGTAGTTGCAGAAGACACTCTCGCCATCCCTGAATGACACTATCTGTGAGGTTCTCTGCAGCCCACCATCTACAAACCTTCTAGAAGCTCTGCCGTAGCTCCATGGCCGCTGAGAGCTGTATTCACTGGCCCTTCCTCTCCCAGAGAAGGGGAAACAGGGGCCACACTCTCAGCCATGCCCTTTATGACCCCGATGCTGGGAGCCCCGACAGGCTCCTTCCAGATCCTGCATACACACTGGGCCACAGGCCACAGAGAAGCTCATGTGACAGTGTTGCTGACTCCAGCAAGACAGCGAGTGCCTCTTCCCATGTAGCTATGCGCCAGGCACCATGCAAAGTGCTTTATGGATACCACTCCAGGGTGGTAGGAAGGAGGGGCAGAGCTGGGAGGAGAGGGCTGGTGGGGTCCTCCCATTGCAGTGAGCTGGGAGGGGCAGACACTGGCTCAGGTGTTGGCACAAAGTGGCTCCATGGGAACCTCTTTGGATCTGGTCAGTCTCTGCCCTGGAGCGCTGGGTGGCTCTGGGAAGCCTATGAACCCTCTATGACCTCAGCATCCTCTCTCTAAAAGTCAGCAACGTGATCTATTCAGAGCACGGGCATGAATGTCCGTGAGACAAAAGTGTGTCCACTGCTGCACCGCTGGCCTTGCCATGCCTTCGCCAGCATGAGACCGAGCCTGGTGGCTTGAGCTTGTGTCCTCATCCTGCTACCTGTCCTGTGGCTATGGACCTAACTGGGTGGTCGCTGAACTTCTCCATACTTCAGATTCTTCATCTGTAAAATACCCCAGATTTCACAGACAGATTTCACGTCTGAGTGACAGAATGAATAAATGTCACAGGGATGTGCTTAAGGTATATTCAGTGGCAGAAAGCACCACATAGCTTTGCTCCCTCATGACAAAATAACGACAGTGACAGACTGATATGTTGGGAGCAGCTGCCCGAACTGGGAAGCCACACTGTAGGGACAGAACCCAAGAGCCTGGTTAGAAGGAGCCCTGTCGGAGGTCCCATCCTTGACACAGATGGACAAGCAGGGACGGGAGGCTTGGAAGGGCAGATGGTCTCATGAGAAGGAGCTTCTGCCAGGCCCAAGACAGTAGGAGGTGGAGGAAAGGGTCTGGGTCTTCCTCCCAGCCCATCTCCTCCATGCTCAGTTGGCTCAGCTACCACAGAGCCACCACCAGGACACTGTGGACCCTCAAGGTGTCCTTGAAACTGGTCCATCAGGTGCCAGCCCACTGCTTCCTCCATCCAGACCATCCTGCCTGGCATTAGTTCATACCACAGTCTACAGAGCCTGCGTGGCTACACCCAAGGAGGCCTTGCTCCCTCCTAGTGCTGCGCGTCCTGCGGCCTGTTGGCTGAAGGGCTGGCAAGAAAAGCCACCTCCCTCTTTCTTTCTTGGCCTCGTCACCCACATGGACCTCGTTCCCATGTCACCGAAAAAAGCAGGTCAGCCGTGCACCTCTCCACCCCTCCACAAACCCAGGGACATCCCAGGAGAGTGCAGGGCCCGAGAGGAAGGGCCCATCCACAGGAGGTCAAGTTCAGACCATAGGACACATCTCCCATACACCAGCTCTATGGAAAGAAACAGGATACTGGGAAGGGTAAAAATGTCTGGAAGCAGCAGATGAAGATACAAATGTGGGTCTGCAGAGCCTAAAGAATGACAGCCTATGCATCCCCTCCCAGGTAGAGGCTCTGAGCAGGACTGCACCCCAGAGCACCCTGTATCATTCCAAGAGGGCCCTTCCATGCCCAGCATGCCCATCCTCTCCGGGTGGCACTGTCCCTGGCTCATCTCCACACTGCTGTCAGTGTGGTCGGATCACCGCTTAGCATCAATCTCCTCTGACCTCAGCCCAGCCTGAGCGCCACATAATCCTGTCAGGACAAGGAGGTCAGCTGGCACTGCTGTTGTTGGGTGGTCAGTCATCCCTCAGCCCCATCCCAGAGAAGGCAGGCACCATCAGGACCGTGCCAGGGTCAGAGCTTCCTTGGGAAGTGGCTGAGCATGGCCGGGGACACCGCTTCCTCCATAGCCCCCATGCCCCTAGCACTGTCACACACAGGCCACCTGCTCACAGGTTCCGGAAACCCCAGGAATGGGCACTGGATGGCCTCATAATGTCTGTCTCATCCTGAGGAACTTATTTTGTTTTTCCTAACAGCTCCACCAACAGCTTCATCTTTTCTGCCTTTTTCCCTTGAGGAATTTCTAAGGCACGTCCTCGCTTTCCCAGTGCAGTAGGCTTGTTTTGAGCCCTGACAACTCAATGCTGTGTCTGAAAGGACACTGCAGGGTCCAAGGAAGACCCTGTGCCCCAGCATTTGTCCTTGAATCAGAAGGTCAGTCGGGGAGCCTTGGGGCTCAGCGCATCATCCTGGGCTATCGCATTCGGCCCAGTCTGCGGCCTTCCTCCCCAGTCACAGTTCCAGCCCTTGGCTTTTGCCCAAAGGTCCACCCATCCTCTACAGCCCCCTGTCCAGCCTCCAGGTCTGACCAGAGCACAGGGGAAGGATCCCAGGGAGGACAGAAGGGTCCGAGAGGTCCCCGAGGGCCTGAGAAGCACATGGGGCAGCTCTGGGGAAGGAGAATCCAGGCAGTGGCTGGGGAGGGGAGGGACGCTCAGTCACCACCATCTGTCAAGGTGGATGCCAGCCCTGCTGTGCCCTGGACTCTGCTCCTCTCCCCAGCCTGTGAATCCTCTCCTGATGGGGGCTCAGGGGCAGGTCCCAGCAGCCCTCAGCCTGTCCCTTGTGTTTCTGGCTGGGGAACAGGCTAGAGGCCTCCTAGGGCTCTGAAGCGGACTGCAAAGCCAAGGAGAGGGCTTCCCAGAGCATCTGGGCTATAGTTCCCACAACAGGTGCCCCCAGAAGCAGCCCTGGCATCAGCCTGGGCCGAGCTGCCTGACTGGATCCTCTTGGTGGGACACTGGGGCTGTCTCCTGAGCAGGATCTCGACAGGAAAGCCACCATATGAGGGCAGCCCCCACATCGCCCCAACTGCAGAACTCCCTCTTACAGGGAGGGGTGGGAGGCAGGGAGGCAGGGAGGCAGTGGGGGTGGACATCTGGGGATGCTGGCCTCTGAGTCTCTGCAGCCCTTCCGGCGAGTCTCCACTCTGTCCCTGCCCACTCCCCAGCACCTGCCTTCCACCCACTCCCTCTCTGCCTCCCTCCCCTCTGGGGTCCAGGTCCCAGCTCCCCTCCAGCTGCACAGGGAAGGCAACCAGTAGACCCACACCCTGGGGCCATCTTACCTTCCCCCAGGGGGTCCAGGCTGTGGAGCATGAGCTGGTAGATGGTGCTGCGGATGGTGCTGTTGTGCAGAGAGGTCGAGCTGCTCCCTCGGGTCAGCAGGGACGGGAGCTGGCCAGGAGGAGAGCCGCACAGCCTCAGTGGGCCCTGTCCAGTGGAGAGCTGCGGGGCCTCGTAGCCGTGCCTCCGCCCACTCACCCTGCCCTCCCGTCCTTCACTGCCCGCAGCCTCCCCTCAACTCTCCCACAGCCAGGCCTCAATAGGGCGGCCCATGTCTGTGGACACCATGTCCCAAGGGGGTCATATGTCTGCAAGCATGTACCCATGTAAACAAACCCTCACCCCAAACCATGCCACAGACCCACAGCATGTGGGCCACAGAGCATCCTTTTGCCTATCGCTGCCCCTCAGAAGAAGCAAGGCTGTGGCGCCTGCAGAAGAGGAGGCCAAAGCTCAGAGGAATGGGAGCCCTCCCAGGGTTAGGTGGAGGAGGCGCGCATGGAACAACACTCAAGTCTCACGCCTGCCCAGAGTGTTCCTGTCCACAAGTTGGGAGACCACACAAGTACACAGGAGAGGGGGATCGCTCCATGATGCTCAGCTGTGGACAGCCAAGACACACATGCACAGTGGCACATTAGACACACCATCTGGTCTACATGGAACACTCAAGACAGTCCTCAGTCCCTGTTAGTACTCCCCCTCCTCCTCCCACTCACCCCAAGACATCCCTCAACCCCTCCCAGTCCTCCACCTCCTCCCTTGGGGTCTGAGCACTCCTGCCATCTTGTGGCCATGGTGATGCAGTACTTCACAACATGTCAGGATTTTCTCCACATGGGAGAAGTCTCAGGTCTCAGCCTCTCCTTTCAAATTCCCCATAATTATTTTCAGACACTCCTAGGCTATGGACAGCCAAAACACAGCTTTTCAGAAGCCTCAGACCCACCCCTCCATTCTTCTCTTGGTTCTGAGGCATCCAAAGCCACAGGCCACCACAACCACACAACTGTAGCATCCACCCCGTCCAGCATCTCACAGATGCTGGTACCCTCCAGACGTGGTGCCAAGCCGGCCCCTCCTCAAAGTCACCCAGAGACAAGTGTTCCTCCTCCCCTGACTCCCCCCGCAGTTTCCCAGGGGGCTGAGCACAGCAGGACCCCAGCACCAGGCCACAGTCCAAGAGACCCTCAGTGTACCCGGGGCAGGCACCCACCTTCAGCTTCTTGTTATCCTGTAGCTCAGCCACCGCGACGGCCCCATCGCCCGGCTGCAAACAGGGACAGGAGTCACGCGCCATCTTGGAGAGACCCTCTCAGTACCTGCTTACCCCTCCAGGGGCCCTCAGATTGCAGCACAGACACGCCCTGAGATAAACTGCTCTCAGAAGATGTCCTAGCTCATCCACCCCCTCCCACACCTCAGGCTGGCCTCAGCCTCAGACAGTGTCCCCGTCCAATGTGTCCCCTCAACAGCCAGGAACACCGGCCATCCCTCAGGTCCCTTCCCCTGCCCGAGGACCCCTGGCAGGACCTTCCTCCCATGCTGACTTCAGGCCTCCTCCATGTCACCTATCTCTAAGAGCTCAGCAAGATTCCCCGCTACAGATCCTGCTCCTCTCCTCACAGCACTCGCCCCAGGCTATGTAAATCGATGTGTATGTTCACAAAGAAACCTACACCTCACTTTGTGTCAAGCTGCCTCATTGAGTGTGGCACGGCACTTAATAAGGTATCAAAGTGTCCATCCAGCAAGTGCATGAATGGGTTGTCATCTCAGTGCCCGGGAGCCACCCTGCTCCTGCTCCCTGGCTCCTGCAGCTGCCCCCTGTCTCAAGTGCCTTCTCCCCTCCCCTCTGCCTACCCAAATCCCACTCATTGCTCATATAATCAGGTGAATTCTGTGAAGCTTTCCTGCTTGGCCCCTTCCTCTCCCAGCGGTACCCACTCCAGCTCACTACAAGAGTCACTCCTCGAAAGCTGTGTCCTTCAGGGAGATGCTTCTGGACAATGGTGGGGTGGCCAGCTGGGGAGTGGGACAGCCCTAGACAGTTTAAGGTAAGGATGCATGAAACCACTGTAGTCACTGTCTGGGCCACTGGCTTGCCACTTTGAAGTTACAGCAATGTAATGCCATTAGAATGCTTTTTTTTTTTTTTTTTTTGAGTTAAGGGCTCACTCTGTCACCAGGCTGGAGTGCAGTGGCACAATCACAGCTCACCGCAGCCTTGACCTCCTGGCTCAGGCAATCTTCCTCCCTTAGCCTCCTGAGTAGCTGGGACTATAGGTGCGCACTACTATATCTGGCTACTTCTTTAAATTTTTTGTGGAGACAGATTCTCACTTTGTTGCCCAGGCTAGTTTCAAACCCCTGGTCTCAAGCGATTCACCTACCTTAGCCTCCCAAAGTGCTAAGATTACAGATGTGAGCCACCATATCTAGCTGAACTTTAAGCATTGTTTAAAATTTCATAGCCCGAGTTGTCTCCCAGCTACATTCCACTTTTTTTGTCACGCAGTGAACTTACTATATAGTCACCTCTGTTTCCCTAGCATGAAGCTCAGTATCCTGCACACATCAGGTGCTCAGCACAGGTGGGATGAGGGCCTTCAGTACTGTTTCCAGGCAGAGGGTCCCAGAAGCTGCCCCCATCCCACCTTGACCTCCCGTGGCCTCCTTCACCCACCAACTTCCATGGCCCACCCAGAGCTAAGCTCACTGCACTCCCTTCTCCATTCAACTCAGAACTTGTAGAAAATAGGGCTTGTCCAGGGTCGCCCACTCCTCCATTCATTCATTCACTCATTCAGTTCTTAGTTCCTGAGAACCTGCAATTTTTGTGGTGCTATGCTGGCAGCTTTAAGGATACAAAGATGTTTAGGACACAGATTCTGTGTCCAGAAAGAAACAGAGATCAGTAATAACACAGACACATGACAAAAAGCAAAAGGTGGTGCTGGGTGAGTGGCAGAGGTGCAGGTGCCACCGGGGGTGGAAAGGAAGACTTCTTGTAGAGGGGAGAGTTTGAGTGCGTTCTGAAGGAAGCAAGAGGAGTGAATGCTTGGATACACATTGTAATGCACGAATGAACATAGAAATAATGGAACAAGCAGCAACAACCAATCGGAACTTGAAGGGGTGCTGTGCTTTTGACAAACACCCCAAATTTCATGACACGCCTGTAAGCATGCTGGGATGCCAAGCTACAGCACAACGCCACAAGCCCAGCCTCTCACAACCTGCCAGATCCCACCCTCATCCAGAGGCTGGTCACCGTGAGAGTCCACACCACGCTTTGTATGGCTGGTTCTGTCCACAGGAGCAAGAGAGACTGGCCTTTGGCCCACAGTGTACACCCCGACAGCTTCTCTGCTGCTCTGATTGATTTGCGCCAAAGTGCTTTTTTACGGGTCAGCGTCTGTGGCTACCTCATCCACATGTGGCTTTCCAGAGCACTTCACATTCGTCTTCTCATCCAGCACTTACATATTCTGGTCATTTTTATAGATGAGGAAACTGAGATGCAGAATGATTCCATGGCTCACCCACACTCACAAAGATGGGATGGAACCCTAATCTAATCTCCGTTTAGAGCTTTTTTTAGGTGGAGGGGAGGTGCTTTTGGTTTGGTTTGGTTTGCTAAATCCCATTTCTTTCCCAAGCATATATAAGGATATGAGGTCAAATCTACATATTCTCTCTGATGGGTTCCCTGGGCAGCAGTGCTGCATGCGGGGCTTTCTGAAGATGCCCTTCTTAGACACCCCATGTCTCACACCCCAACATCCTCCCGCCCTTTCTTCAGTCTTGTCATCCACCTTCACCTTCTCCTCACAAGAGCCAGCAGGGGCTGAGGTGCCAATGAGGATGGGCTAGGGAAGAGCCAGACACCCAGCCCTACTGCCTCCGGTTGAGGGTGAGGTCTGGGGGCTTGTCCTCCCAACCTCCAGCTTACATCTCCCACTGTCATAACAATTCTCTTTCTAGACCATCCATGACATATCCCCTGAGCCATACCTTTTGGTCTGTAATTTATTTATTTTTGAGTCAGAGTCTTGTTCTGTTGCCCAGGCTGGGGTGCACTGGCTACCACAGACTCAACCTGCTGGGCTCAGGTAATCCTCCTGCCTCAGACTCCCAAGTAACTGGGCCTACAGGTGCATGCCACCATGCCTGGCTAATTTTCTGAGTTTTTGTAGAGACAAAGTCTCACTGTGTTGCCCAGGCTAGTCTCAAACTCCTGGGCTCAAGTAATCCTCCCGCCTCAGACTCCCAAAGTACTGGGATGACAGGCATGAGCCACCACACCCAGCCAACATTCTTTTTCTTAACAAGTATCAGGCCCTCCGAAGCCAAGATCTGCTCCACTCCTCCATGGGTTGCACACCCTGAGAGCTGAGTCTGTACCTGACTCCTCCCCACATCCTGACCCACAGAGGCCTCCTGCGAAGGTTCTCAGTGCACGTCTGCTGAGTGAATGGTGTCAGGCTCTTCAGGGCTTCATTCTAGACCATTTCTTTCTCAGAGTGGCACCAGCCAGTCCTCAGCTCTAATTACCACACTTGTGATGATGCACAAATTCCTTCCCCAGCCCAAACTCAGTTTCTGAGCTCGACTCACGTGTGCAACCTCCTGCCCACGTGCACCTGGAAGCTGTCCAAGCAGCCAGTTCACACCCGAGTGGGGCCCGAGGGTCTCCCTGCCCCTGCTCTTCCAGAGTCTTCCCTTTCTCAGGAAGGGACCTTCACCCACCTGCTGCACAAACCAAGACCCCAACTTCTTCGCACTCCCAACCTCCACACCTACTTCACCACCAGGTCCAGGGCTTCTGCTGTCAACATTCCCAAAGACAGCACGCACAACCAGGCCCAAGGTGCCTCCTGACAGACTCCCTGATGCCACTCAAGGACGGCTCATTCCCGACTGGCATGAGGGGGATAATCACAGGCCCTGACCCAGGTAGCTCCTGCCTTTCTCCTCAGTGTCCTGGTCCCCACTCTCATTATTCCCCTGTATCACCGCCCATTACTCCCCATCCTGTACCACCTCCCATTACTCAGCCCACATCTGTACCACCTCCTGTTACTCCCCATTCCTGTGTCCTGTACCACCTCCCATACTTAGCCCATGTCTGTAACTCCTCCCCAAGTCCTGTACCACCTCCCATTACTCAGCCCATGTCTGTACCACCTCCCGTTACTCTCCCTATCCTGTACGATCTCCCATTACTTCCCCACCGTGTCCTGTACCAACTCCTGTTACTTTCCCCATGTTCTGAACTACCTCCCATTATTCCTCCTCCACGTCTGTACCACCTCCCATTACTCCCACTCCCTGTGTCCTGTACCACCTCTTGTTACTTTCTCCATGTCCTGTACCACCTCCCATTACTCCCCCTCCCTGTATCCTGTTACTCTCCCCATCATGTCCTGTACTACCTCCTATTACCCCCCCGTGTCCTGTACCACCTCCCGTTATTCCCCATCTGTCCATGAAGGGGCCCACCGTCTACAGCCACTCACTTGTCCTGTTCTGAAATTATCTTCAATTTCCTTGTTTGTCATCGACCTGCCCATTCCCCACACAAAAAATATTTCCACTGGTTTATATTTCCAACTAATTCAGTGGCAGACCATCTAGACATCATGCTGTCTTTTGTGTAATACCATGAATATCTCTTTTCATATTTAATCCCATCAGACGCACTAGGAGAAAACACTCTAGTGTTGAATGAATGCATGTAAAATCTCAACTACAGTTTCCATATATCCATCACAATGACAAGCTGTTGGACGAGGCATGACTCAACATCTGAGTTGTTCTGTTAATACTTGTTTCTCTGCATCCATTTTGATACCAGCTGGCACCCATTGGCAGGTAAAATTGAAAGCTCTAGAAAATTGTAGGAGGAAAAAACGTCCTAAAACTGAGAATTCTACTCTTGCTATCTTTTCCCAACAACTGGAAAGAAGCAGACTGTTATTCAAGATGTTGAAGGGCTGGTGTTGGTGGCTCAGCCTGTAATCTCAGCACTTTGGGAGGCCAAGGCAAGTGGATTGCCTGCGGCTGCGGGTTCGAGGCCAGTCTGGACAACTTGGCTAGACCTCATCTCTACAGTAAATCAAAAACCAGCCAGGCTTGGTAGCATGTGCCTGTAGTTCTGGCTACTTGGAAAGCTGAGGTGGAAGAATCACCAGAGCCCAGCAGGTTGATGCTGGGGTGGCTGTGAGTGTGCCACTGCACTCCAGCCTGGGCAACAGA